CAAGGGTTGGACATATATAACTTTGGGCTGAAATTTTAACTCAAATTGGGTCGGAATCAATTTAATCGGACCGAAAGGAATACAACGCGATAATAAGAATTCCCGAGATATTCAATTGACAGCGAGTAATAAATTATTCCGGATGATACATATACATATCACACCCAATAATTATTTATTTAATAATAACCATTTAAAAACAATTAGACAAATAGACATTTAATATAAATAATAATAATAATAATAATAATAATAATAATAATAATAATAATAATAATAATAATAATAATAATAATAATAATAATAATAATAAAGACAATTAATAATAGCAATAATCAACAATTATTCTCAAATAATCCACAATCGAACGGAGTATTACATATACGGCGTTGTCTGCTACACCGACGACAACGCTCTCGACGACCTCTGCCTTACGTGTGAACTGAAATTCCGGATCCCTGCTCGCGAATGTTTAAAGCGGCGTGAGGAGACAAAGGGCGATCGTGACCTAGGGCGTCGATCTCCCTGCTCGCGATTTTCATCTCCACCAGACAGTATAATATGTCGTATATATTTTGTGTATTTATACTTTTTTGTTGTTTGTGTAGTTGCAGGTATATATACTGTATATTTTTCGTATATATATTGTTTATATTTTTTTTTTCATATGCACATTATTAGAGTGTGTATAGTTTGGTTTTTTCATAGGATCGACACGATCCTAAGTATATATATTGTATATTTGTCATATATATACTGTTTATATTATGTATATTTTCTGTATATGTTGTGTTCTCCACCATCTCGTTGATCAGAAAATGGACGACGCTGCTTGTGATTGACGCTACTCGTGATGGACGACGTTGCTTGTGATTGTATAGTTCAGATTTTGTTTTTTTTTTTTTAATTAATGAAAGAATACCGTCAGTTACGGGAATCTTATGATGTCAACTGTTTATTTTTTGTTTGATAGTAGTTATCCAAATAATTTTGTTAAACTAGGCATATTTGTAAATAAGTTTTTATTTTTGTATTTATGCAATTCTTTTAAATTCCTTACTGTATAAATGCAAATTGCATGATGGGGAATTTTTTTTTTTTCGGTAGAGAGAGATAAAGTTGTAATAATTGGGCTTTAATTAATTGATTCTTTTGAGCGTTAATCACTAATTAAAAACTAAAATAAAATCATTTCCAACGCACATGTATTCTACGGAGGTGAAAAAGATGAGTTCGTTAGGTAGACTCTTCCACGAAAATCAACCATTTCCCAATCATAAAGTTAAATAAATAAATATTAAATTGAGATTAGTCATACATTTTTATTCACATCATATACACCTACCTGCCAGTGCACGGCCAAATAAAGATGATCAACATTTATCCACAGACTGCGTACATAAACTGTTATAATTTATTTTTTTTATTTTTTTTTTTTTTTCTCAAGTCCAGTAAAATATCACTCTCTATTCGAATTTTGCACACACCAATTCAAGTGTGCTAAATAATAATTTTGAATGTGGGGGAATTGCTCTAGCTATTTAAATATAATTAACTTAGCGCATTATTGAAATTTGACCATCAGATTAACAAAAATTGTATGGACCAAATTTATTTATGAAGTCATTTATAACATGATACACTTAACACGTAATCAAAGTGTATTTAATGTAGGACATGTGTACGTATAATTTGTAAATAATTGTTGATAATAATTTCATAAGTTGTGTATTAATTGGTGTAATTTGACTTTGTTGACAATGGCTTTCTTACCAGCTGGATTTGACCGCAATCAGAACAATTGAAAAAACTGGTGCCGCATCAAGTTTTTGATCCATATATCTGATTTTTGCAGATTTTCTAGGTAGTGATATATTTCTTTAAATTTCATACTTGAAAATTTATTAGCGGTTGTTGCAAGAGGGATTGTTGTTATGATCCAACATAGTACTAATTAATCTTTTTCTTTTCGAATTAAACTAGTTAATAACTCGTGCGATGCACGAGACAATAATTACAAATGCATGTATTAAAACAGTGAAGATATATTGATTAAAAAAAATGAGATTCGCATTTTGTTAAAAATAAAAAAATAATGCGAAAAAAATGAGATTCAAATTTGTGCATAATAATCTACAAAAAAAAAAGGTTCAGATTTGTTACTAAACTAGTACAGCACCCGTGTATTACACGGGTGCTTGTTAAAAATTATTCCTAGATTTTAAAATTAATGAGAAAACTAAATTAAATTTAGTTACAAAAAAATTATATTACTATATATTTTAGAATGATATGTGTTACTTATGACTTACATGTGTTATATTATATTAGTTGTTATAACTTATATCATATAACTACTTGAAATATAAATATATTAGTTGATAAATAATTTTATTTTTCTAATTAATATTAAAAATAATTTTATTACTGTTATAAAGATAAATATAAATTATTTTTTTTATACATACAATATGGATCTTAAATCAAAGCTCATCAAAAGAAGATTAATTTGATATATTACATATGTAAAATTGATAAAAAAAATAAAAAAGTTATTAACTTTTAAAATATATATACAATTTAATAGTTATAATAAGGAATGATATTAAAATACAATTAATACATGTAACATGACCATAAATAATCAACATATTTATGGTAATCCGAACCTAATTATTTTTTGTTTGGAATTAAATTAAAATTTATCCAAGCCTAATGACGAAGCATGTAATTTTGCCACATAGGATTCCGAAGCATCAAAAGCAGCCACGTAGGCTCAGCGCGTTCTGTATTAAAAGATAGGGGCAGGGGGGTATTAACATATGTCTTTTTTTTAAAAAAAAAAAATTCCACTAATAATAAGTCAAACTGTTTATATTTTATTCAAACTTACTATAAATGTATATTTTCCACAACATTTTTAAGGAAGATTCTACTATTCCATTACGGAACTATTCCGTCGGGTTTGTAGCCGTGAGATCAACTATCCACGACGGTTACATGATGATTTAACAGTTATAAATTCCGATGAAATGGTTTCATAACGAGATTGTAGCATTTTTCCGTTTTTATATGTGTATAGATTCATCTAAAGATTTTTTCGACACATCCGTGATTGATTCGTCTTTACTCTGATGCCAGATGATCATGTGATATACGCAAAGTTGCTCAATGAAAAATAATTTAAAGGTGTATCCATATTTAGTAATAATTTGATATATATATGTTCAATTTAACTTCTGTTTTCTCAAGTCTTTCTATTGATACTATTTCCAGCCCTTAGTTTTCACCATCAAATTAATAAAAACCTACACATCTACTGAAACTAAATTATTAAAGTAATTTCCTACCATTACAAGTTAGGTGTGGTTTTCGTAGTACTTCTGTGACTGGCCGAGTCACATCAGGTAAACTCTTTAAAGCCAATCGAAAACTTGAAAGATTCCTAATTTTACGGGTCCCATCATATAACAGTCAGAATTTGTAACCATTAGATTAACTATCCACAACGATTACATGATGATCGAACAGTTACAAATACATACAAAGTAGTTCCGCAACGGCAGGGGCAGAGCTATAGCCCCTCCACCTGGAATTTTAGATTTTTAAATTTTATAATATATATTCCCAAAGAATAAATATAAATTGTGTAGTTTTACAAAAATATTCCGTGAATAAAGTTGTTTATTATGTAGTTTTTTTTTCTTTGTTCTCGCATATAAATTTTTCTTATTACAATGTTTTATTTATCTGTTTTATCTTCGTATAAATCTATTAAAACATCTCATGCTACTGTAATAAGGAAAATGCTACAAGTACATAATTTTTTTTTTGGTACAGGGACCTTCCGGTTTCTGGATCCACAGGGGAACCGACTAATCCGGAATCGAGCCGGGTAGGACCACAAGGGCGGCAAAGCTCTCCCTCAAGAGTTTTAACACTGCTGCATTCCCAGGGCTCGAACACGAGACCACTGGTTAACACTGCTACAAGTACATAATGAATGTACATAGAGGTGTACATAACACTCAAATGAGTGGGGTCCACTTGATTTTTTTATTTTTGGTGGTCCCACTCAATGTAAGTGTTATGTATACCCTTATTTACAATATTATGTACATATAACATTACTCCTGTAATAATTGTTATGTTAGAGAATTATTGTCAATGAAAATTCATCTCAACTAAGAAATACAATGGTAATAAATTCTTTGCTCCAACATATTGAGAAATATTATATCTCTTCTACTCATGTCGAGTACAATTTAATATTGAGAAAAATCACGAGAACATGGTATATATACAACTTAACGTGTTTTCATTGGGTAGAATATTTTTATTTTGATAATCATACATTTCTAGTCATCAGAATGAATAAAAATATTGAAATTTACAAAATATAAAAGATACTGCATAAGATTTCATCTTAAATTATATCAAAATATTAGAATGTATGTACAATGTTATTTTTTTGTCTTATTTGTGCCATTTTTTTATCGCCTTTTTAATTACTACAAATATTTGGCCTAATCTCATTTTATTTGCTAGATCTGCTAACGTAACGGACTTGTTGGTATGACTCATATATTGACAAAAGAAGGGGCAGGCTGATGCCTGCGAGCGTAACGGAGCGAACGTAAGCATATTGCCGAACCACGTAAATCTTGTGTTGTTTACTTTTCTCGTTTTTTAATTCCTATGCCATATTATCATCTTTTCTCAACAGGACTGTAACATTTTTCTTTTCTTTTTCTTTTTCAACGAAACCTATATGAATTCATGCAATTGTCCCATATAACTTCTCATTCGATATATATCCAATAATAATTGGCCTGAAAGTCATTACCAATAATCAGATCATGACATCTAAAATAAATCTCGAATATCTCAACGCAAGCCACAATACCTCTATATAAAGAGTTGGGTCTACCAAATATTTTCCATCACCCAAACATTAGAAAATCATTAAGAAGAAGAAAAGCCTTCATATCTTTTTCTGCATGGATAATCAAATCTGTCTTCTCCCATTCTTTCTAATCCTTTTAACACACCTCGTGTATGCAAATTCTGCCACTCACACACCAATATGTAACGAAACCCCTTACCCGGAGCTATGCGCTTCTCTAGTCAGCTCGAGCCCACAAACCACGTCGTCCCTTGTTGAAAATCTACCCGATTTTCACGACAAAAGCCTTAGGACGACTCTATTCGAAGCCCAAAATGCCTACAAACTAATTTCCGACACGGACCTAAGTTCACTAGACGAGCTAGCTAAATCGGCTTTGGCCGACTGCTTAGAGCTTTATGAAGACTCCATCTATCAACTTAACCGATCTATTAGCTCTAAAAACGACCCTAACGCACTAGCCGATGCGCAAACATGGTTGAGCGCGGCCATTGCCAACGAACAAACGTGCCAAAATGGATTTCTCGATTTTAGCTTGCCCAAAGACCACTTGCCATTCATGCAAACCAACTTTTCAAAGTTCCTTAGCAACTCACTAGCCATCAATAAGGCCATGTCCTCATCATCATCAACAACTTTTTCGCTCGATAAAATTAAGCAGCGCAAAAACCGGCGACTGTTGTGGTTTGGTAAATACACCAAGGATGATGATTTCCCGGAATGGGTCTCAGCAGGCGACCGGAAATTGCTCCAATCAAAAGGGGCCGCCGTCAAAGCTAATGTTGTGGTGGCACAAGACGGCTCGGGTGGTTACAAGACTATTTCCGAAGCTTTGGCTGCCTCGGCCAAGCAAATGGGGAGTGGCAGATTCGTGATATACGTAAAGAAGGGAGTTTACAAAGAAAATGTTGTGGTGAAGAGGTCAATGAGGAACCTAATGCTTATTGGAGACGGCATAGATGCAACAGTTGTTACAGGGAGTAGCAATGTCCAAGATGGCTCCACAACTTTTCGTTCTGCGACTTTCGGTGAGTTTGATTTTATTACGACAACGACTCGTTTACGTACTTCTTCATTCAAATTGACTGCGCTAATTTTATAATTTGCTCGATTATTTTTTCAAAGTAATCCTACTGGTTTCATTATCGTTTATGAAGATTAGCTACTAGCTCATAAATATATATATTTTCCTTGTTAGTATGTTTCATTTTCTTGTGTGCCAACTAACAAGTTAGTGGATAACCATGATTTTCACTTTCAAACATACACAACTTTACATATAAAAAATATATATTGTGTGTCATTTATTTCAGTGAAGTAGGTTGTTGAAAGCAAAGGCCGCTATGTATTTGTACACATCATTTTTCAAACATCTTATTAGGTGTAGACTTGATGGAGTTCACATTTCAACCCGAATCTCTACAAATCACCATCATTCTAGTAAATCCGATCTGGCTTTTTTAACCACACACGCGCACCAACTAAAAAAACGTATACCTTAATTGATTAAATAATAATATCTATATTTTGAACTTAATATCCATCGATCCAGCTGTGACCGGTGGAGGTTTCATTGCACGTGGGATAACGTTCGAGAACACGGCGGGTCCCGCGAAGCACCAGGCGGTCGCCTTCCGGTCGGGCTCGGACCTCTCGGTTTTGTACATGTGTAGCTTCAGGGGGTACCAAGACACACTGTACGTCTACTCCCAACGCCAGTTCTACCGCGAGTGCGACATTTACGGCACCATCGACTTCATCTTCGGAGACGCTGCCGTCGTCATCCAAAACTCCAATATCTACGCCCGTATCTCGTCGGGCCAGTGGAACACCATAACCGCCCAGGGCAGAAAGGACCCGAACGAGAATACAGGAATTGTTATACACAATTCGCGCGTGATCACCTCGGGAGGGCGCAAGACGTACCTTGGGAGGCCGTGGCAGAGGTACTCGAGGACGGTTTTCATCAAGTGCGAGCTCGACGGTGGGGTGGACCCCGCAGGGTGGCTGGCCTGGAACGGGGATTTTGCCCTTACTACTCTATACTATGGGGAGTACATGAACACGGGAGCCGGTGCGGGTACGGGCGGGCGGGTCAGGTGGGCTGGGTTTCACGTGATATCGAGCTTGAACGAGGCGGGGAAGTTCTCGGTCGGGAGTTTCTTGGGCGGGGGTTCATGGATTCCGGCGACCGGCGTGCCGTTTACGTCAGGGGTGTGATGATCATGTGTGCATTTGTTACTCAAGTCGTCATGCCGGCCGCACGTGTGTATTCAATGTTGATTATTTAGATTCCGTTAATTGGTCATATATTGGTGTACAAAAGTCGTTACGTGATACCTTGTTTCATGGCTGCTTTAGCTAGTTGCATTGAAAATAATGTATATTTTTAATCATGTAAAGTAATATAAAGTGGCGTGGTACAGCTGTAAATCTTCACTTATTTATGTTTGTTAACTTCGGCTTTTGATTTGTATTTCAGTAGGGTCGATGAACGTTAAGTCTATAGGGTGATGCAATATTTGTTCATTCATCTACACACAATCAATTTCAAGAATAATATAAAATAAAATAACTCTGATCGCGATAACAAAGGTATAATAACTTGGACTTGCATGGTCTCCGATTTTGAAATGAGGTGATACCACGAAGTGACCATGTATATACTCTCTCGGAGATGCTCGGAGATGCTATGGTACTGTTACGGAATTATCTTATCAGAGTTTGTAATTGTTAGATAAACTATCCCTGATGGTTACATGATGATCTAACGGCTATAAATCCCGACGGAATGATTCCGTAACAGGACCTGTAGCATTTTTCATACTATAAAACAATGAAATATAGTCTTTTTAGGTATGGGTAAAGTCTTATTGCCCTTACACTCTGTTTTTTACCCAAAAAAACAATTCACTTAGACATGGTCACGGTTGGCCCGACCCGTAAACCGGCCCGCAATAGCCAGTTTTTGAATTGGCAGGGAACCCTATAAGGGCCGGTTACAAGTCGTATTGTACACCCTTCTGACCCTCTGGGCCGGGCCGGTTCATGGGACAGGCCCAAGTTTTCCGACAGATCACATTTATATTTTTTTTTTTTGTTTTTAATTTTTTTAAATCGGCGGTTCAATGAACCGGCGCTTAAATATAGTCGGGCCTAGCATTTGAGGCCCGCCGACCCGGCAGGCCAGGCCGGCCTATGAACCGGCACGGGCGTTGACCACCTCTAAATTCACTCACCATTCTCTTATTCCTGCCGTCAAAATGGATCGAGAGATATTCAGCGAGCATCCCGTCTCTTGAAAATCTCGAGAGCTTTTGCCGTCCAAACCCGTTATGTAAATGAACCCAACAACTAGACAAAGAAATAGTTGGTTTATGAGAACCAATATTGTCTTTTCGCGAGAAGTTGATTTCTTGAATATGTATTACCAAAATTGTTTTCATTTGTTGCAAAAATAAAATAAAATAAAATAAAATAAAATTGTTTTCATAAAGTAAGAAATAATTCCTTAAATTAAAAGTTGTATTGTAGAAAAAAATATTGACATGATTAAATAGAAACTAGAATATTGAAAGAGAAACAATTTTTTTTTTTTTTGATGTATAAAATATATTTTTTTAATGAATAAATAGAAACAAAAATTCTAAATAATATAAGAATATGACATGAACAAACCTTTCTTCACTTGGTTGTGTATTTTGCCAAAAGCATGCAATTTTCTAAATGAAAAGTATGGTAAGTAGACTGAGATTATTTGGAAAGGGTCTTGAACCAATTTCCGTGCTCTGTTAAAATTTCTTCTTACCCCTTAATCATGCAAAGTTGTGGAGGTCCTGGAGGATGTGATGGTTAATTAACAAATCAGTTATTAAGGTAATATGGTCATTTTCTCTTTATGTAAAAATAACTATATATAATTAAAATTATGGATATATTTGGAAAGTAAAAAAGGCTCAAAAAATTGGCTCGGTTTTTAGATAATATTTCATCAACCATTATGAATCATACAAATAACTAATACGTGCGAATTGATAAGCATCAAGACAAATAACGGAAGAGTCTTACTAAATACCGCCCCTAAAAAACAGTTCCGCCCTTTTTAATTTTAATTTTCTTTTTTTTTTTCAGCTGGCCGGCCGCTAATTGTGACCGCAACTCGCTCGGCCGGATGCTAATTAGCCGCAACTCACGCGGCCAGCCCCTAATAGCGGCCGCAGCTCGCACGACCGGCCCTTAATAGCGGCCGGACCAATTTTTTTTTTAATAAGAACTTAAATATTTAAAAAATATATAATTTTTTACTATTAATTATTAGAGAAATCGTTTAATAGTTATTAAGGCAAGTTGCTACAACATATATAGTCATTCATTGCCTTACATTGAACTTTCTCATTCAATGTGGGATAATTGCAAATCAAAGTTTTCACTTTCCCATATAGTCACTCTTGACCTTTATTATGGTGTTTGTAATTGATGTGGGATTGTCCCAAACCTCTAGCCTTTTATAACTACTTTTTGCATTCTTTTTTGCTTTCAAAATCAATGTGGGACTAAATGATTCATGTTTTAACGCACTTTCACTATGTATGTCAAGATGAACATTATCATTAATTAAACTTATTATTATTATCTTAAATTGATAAATGATTAAATTTAACTAAATGAACATGAAATATGGAAAAACATTATAGGCTTTTACATAATAAAAGAAAATACACTTATCATCATATTTTTTTTTTTTTTTGTTAGTGAAATAAAAAAATATCTACATATTATATATATATATATATAGGGGGAGGATCCAATGAGTCCACTCCTTTAAATATATATTAATTAAATATAAAATAATTATTAGTTGACTCCGGCGTTGACCGTTGACTTCCGGCGAAAAATCGTTGACTTTCGACGTTGACTCCGACGTTGACCGTTGACTTCCGGCGTTGACCCGTTGACCCCTAGTATGCATTATATGTATGAAGTAAATATGCATCCAGTACAATGCATTCAATATGAACTAAATATGCATGGGATATAAATTGCACATGCAGTCCTTATGAACTAAATATGCACCAATAATATCAACTAAGTATGCACCTGTTATGAACTAAGTATGCATCTGTTATGAACTAAATATGCATCATGAATGAACTAAATATGCAGCGAAAAATATGCAATAAAAATTTAAATTTTATATAGGTAATTTATGATGCATATTTAGTTAATTTATTATGAATATTTAGGTAATTTATGATGCATATTTAGTTAATACGAAATGCATACTTGTTATATTTAAATTAAATATATAATGATGTTTATATAGTTAATATATGATGCATATTTAGTTAATTCATGATACATATTTAGTTCTTACAAATGCATATTTAATTCATGAACAGTGCATACCTATTTTATTTGAGATCCAATCATAACAATTTATTTGTGTTATTAAACAATTTAAAATTAAAATTAATTATATAATAAAAATTATTAAATATTATATTTAATTTAATTGTATAAAATGTGTATTTTATTGCATATCCTTGCATATTTAATTCATTCATGATGCATATTTAGGTAGTAAAATGTGCATATTTAGTACATAAACAGTGCATATATATTTGATATTATTGGTGCATATTTAGTTCATAAGGATAACATATATAATTTATTTTTTATGCATATTTAGTTCATACTAAGTGCATAATACTGATGCATATTTACTTCATACACAATGCATACTAAGGGTCAACGGTCAATGTTTAAAGTCAACGCCGAAAGTCAACGGTCAACGTTGGAGTCAACGGTCAACACCGAAGTCAATGGTCAATTGTCAAAATAATATTTAAATATTTAAAATAATAAAAATAAAGAAATAAGTAATAAAAGTAAAGAATTATTATTTAATTGAAGAGTTAATCTTAGCCACACATAATGTACCAATCTAATGGCTAGAAATGGGTCTCACATTCACACTTTAAATATGTGGACTCATTGG